AACCTTTGTAATGACCATTAGACCAATCACTAACTTTCTGAATCCTCTGCATCATCCTCAGATTGATACCTAAACACTGAAAGGTTTTATTGGAGCTTCCAACATGAATGCCAAGCAGTACAGCATGCAGTTTTCAAATTTCTGGCAGAGTGAATTTCATCAAGGTGCTTTTTTCTACACTCTGCAGTAAACTAAATAAAAAGTATACATAAATAAAAAATGGCAACAATTTACCCATTTTGTGTGCGTGTGTATATCTCCTCAAATACAAAGGGGTTAATGAATATGAAAATTTTATCCAGTCCCAGAAGACATTAACACTGATGTCAAGAAAGTTACCAAATTAAAAGAGACAGGATCCAACATTGTAAAGAGCCACAAACCAGACTTAAACCATCATTTAGAATGGAATCTCAACTAAATTGGGAGAGTTAGCAAATTTATATTACAAGACATGCAATTTTATGCATCACAATTTAATTATATTATGGCAACAGGAGCACAGTTGGGATGGGGGAATGTATATATGGTTCAAGAAAATTTTTGAAGAGTTCCTGTTTATGAAATACATTAGATTTTTATCCATTTATAAGTGAAATCTATAAATGGATAAGCTTTACCAAAGAATATGAAGTAACAAGCATTAAAACATTGCCATAAATCTGTGCTAGACCAAAAGAGAAATGCTTAATTTGACATGCAAAGCATCTCTTGATGGTCTGGATGTATCAGAACTTTAATATAGAGGTCAAAATTAATTTAGAACTGAATATCTATGTGAGAACCTCAGGAATGAAAGTGTCTACCCTTACAGGAGAACAAATATGAAGGAGAGTAATTATCAAGATAAGACACCCTAAATAATGAAAGTCACAAATTAAAATAAGATTTACTCCAGCCCTCAACATTTTTAAAATTTAATTTTAACTAAAATTTACCAGATACTCTAGGTTACAAATATACAACAGGAATACAGTGAAAATATAGCATTATAACCAAATATAGAAGGTAATCAGGAGCCATAGGAGCAGAATATTAGACTAGAAAAAATATATGCAATTGCAGAAATGCTTTCGATTGATCCCTTAAAGACTGCCTGGTATATGTCATGTATAAGGCTACAGTAAAGTTTGCTAACTACCAAGAAAGATTTTAATGTTCCTTCTGTTACACAAACATTACACAAGACTAATTTTAAACTATAATTGAAATTATAGTGTTCTTATTGTGGTTAATTATTACTTTTGGATTTTATCTGATAATTCTAAGAGCAGATATAGAAGATACCTGTCATACAAGATGCTTGTTAAAAAAAAAAAAAAAACAACAAAAAAAAAACAAAAAAAAAAAAAAAAAAAAAAAAACAAAAAAAAAAAAAAAAAAAAAAAAAAAAACAAAAAAAAAAAACAAAAAAAAACAAAACAAAACAAAAAACAAAAAAAAACAAAAAAAACAAAACAAAAAACAAAACAAAACAAAACAAAAAAAAAAAAAAAACAAAAAAAAAAACAAAAAAAAAAAAAAAACAAAAACAAAAAAAAAAAAAAAAAAACAAAAAAAAAAAAAACAAAACACAAAAAAACAAAACAAAAAACAAAACAAAAACAAAACAAAACAAAAAACAAAACAAACAAAACAAAACAAAACACAAAACAAAACAAAACAAAAAACAAAACAAAAACACACACAAAGAAAAAGAAAGGTGTATAAAGAATGTCATCAAATATTAGCCCTGGAGCAATATGAAGATCAAACCAGAATGAAGGAGAAACTGAAATGATGTCAGCAGGTCTCAATCAGCATGGCTTTATCAAGTCAATCTTGAAAGAAATAGTGAAAGGAGGATGAAAGGCAAGCAAAGAAAGATTGGAGGAAAATCTCTGAATATTAGCATGAAGATCGGTAATGGTTTGAGAATGTCAGAGCAGAGAGAAATTTATAGAACTGAGACAGTGATATATAATAGCTATATAATTCTGAAGAATTTGTGTGTGTGTATATATATATACATATATATATATATATATATATACACACACAAAATTCAAGGTTTAATATCAAGACATTAATTGAAACTATTCAATACAAAACAAGTTTGGACAAATCTCTTGCAAATAACATTTACTAATGGTAAAATTGAAAAGTAGCAATAAGTTTGGAAGCAGGAAGTAAAGACTGCAGAAAGAGTTTAAGGGGAGGCAACTCACGTGAAAGGGAATAGCTTACAAGAGTTGGATCTGTTTAAAAAAAAAAAAAAAAAAAAAAAAAAAAAAAAAAAAGAAAAGTCAAAACAAAATGAAGTTTGCATAACTTCAACCGAAATTAAAGTTTTACCAAGTTGATTTAGGGATAAAAGAAATTAAATAGCCAAATTAGTCCTTGATTGGACATGTTCTGCATATTATCAATTTTGCTGTAACAGTTTTTATAAGATTATCAGTAACTTAATACTCAAAATAACTAGTCATCCAATTTCTTGCAAAAGAAAAAGATCAGTTTGAAGCAAATAAAAAAAAAAAAAAAAATTCCGAGATTAAGTTTTATATACACATCTGCCGATACCAGTTAAATTACGCCTGCTTCATATTTGGCATATGTTACTTACCAAAATGTTAAATCTTATTGAGGAATTTTGAAAAAAAAAAAAAAAAAAAAAAAAAAAAAAAAAAACGAAAATTGTTAATCCCCAAACTGATATTAAAAAGAAAAAAATTTAAAATTGTCTATTAATAGATTAATTTAAAACAGCAAGAAAGATTTATCAAAGATACAAAAAGAACTTTAAAAAAAAAAAAAAAAACAGGTTATTATATATACAATGGGCAGTTTTAGTTGTAGCAACTAATTTATAACTGAAAGACAAAAGAAAGGAATCAGTAGTTCTATTCCTGAAAGTAATGTTCAAAATGGAGAAGTGGAAGTTGCTTCCAACACAACAGATGAAGGATTAATTTCTCCCTCTATCATTTTTAGAAGTTTGCATACACCTGGAATATTGTGTGTTTGGTGTTCCTGTTGATGTAGCACCTGCAAGTAGAAAAAGAAAAAGGTTATGTCAGAGCATGATTTAAGAGCACGTTTATTTTACAGTTTTTGTTTAACCTATACACATTTCATAGAGTGAAAGGAAAAAAAAGAAAAAAAAAAGAATGTTTACATTAAAAAAATTTAAAGTATTATTTATAGAGATATTGTAATTAGACAACCTGGTTGGATGTTTGTTATAGCATAGTAGTTATTGGCATTGAAAGCATAATTATTGCTATGCCTGCATCAAAATAGTCATTCACATATATTCAATTTTACATTTCAGCACTGCAGCTGCAAGAGCTTGATTTTCATTACCAGAAAATCACACAAGAACCACTTTCTAATGTTTTTTGTTTTAAATTTTTTCAAAAAGAGTTACATTAAAAATTGTATTTTCCAGTGACATTTTTAGAATTATATTTCAATTTTTAGAATCTCAATTTTGCAATTCTAGATTTTTTTTTTTTTTTCCTTTTTAGAAAAAAGTTTTACCTTAAAATTATTCATAAAAATAAGTTGGGGTGGAGAATGGTTGTAATCTTTTTAAAATTAATAAACAGGGATTTGATTACAGGCCCACCAATGCCAGAAGTTATTCCTGTAGAGATCCCCATCCAGGGTATGATTATGGACTACATCCAACAGCAAGGCTTCTGATTGGGAGGTTTTGAAGAACATTGAAACCACCTCTTAATTGCTGTTCCCAGGTCGACCCTGACCCAAGGTGATAGGATCCCAACTATAGGCAGATAGTGAAAAACACTATAAAAGAATGAAATATTTTTATAGTAAAAATACCAGCAATGTGTTTGGGAGTGGAAAAAACAATTACCAGCAATATATTTAAGTTGACAAAAACCCTCTTTACAAAAAGACTTTAAAAACCCTGATCTACAAACCGATTTCTTACAAAGACTACATTCTATTCATATAAACCTATTCTAATCTTGTCAGTATTAAATAAACTATTGAGGTTGATATGCCATAAACTAAACAAATCCAGTAAGGATCATAAGTTACTGAGAGATAAGTTTCAGATTTTCTGTATATCTGTACTGCTAATTACATGGGCATCATGAATAACTTGTATAAATTAAAATTTGATAATTTTAATAAAGTTAATTTAATATAAAACATTCTATAACTTTACCAAATTCAAACAAGAACTCTTTATTAAATACTCTTAATGAAATCATCTAAGAAACCATCTTAAATTAGATTTAATCATAAAAAGATGGAATTCACACATTTAAAACTACTTATGTTTCAGAACTTCAGCTTTCTAACATGTACAAAGCTAACTTTGAATAACTTAGAAATTAAGGTTATGTTTATGCATCAAGGTGTTTAAAATTAAATCTGTCATTTCCTGCCTTTCTAGATGTTCACAACTGCATATGCATATACCATTAGATTCATAGTCATCAAAAAGATAAGTAACACTCCACCCCCCAAAAAAGTTTAAGTAATAAAATTGTTTGATTAATAAATAAAATGCTATCACTTCAGAAATTGCTTTGTTTACATTAGGATATGAAACTGAGCAGACATGGAATTTGCATTTAAAGGCACTCCTTAACTTTGCTTGAACATTGATGCACTTTGTGAGATCTAAAGTACATTTGATCTAATGACAGTTTCCCCTGCTAAGGAGGGAGGGACACACACACACAATGAAATTTACAAAACCTTGTTGATCCATTTTTCAATAAATGAAAAATTTAAAAAATTAAAGCCTCCACATCTTAGCTATCCAGTAACAAGATTAGCTAGTTTGTTTACTGCAACGAAAAGCATGATAGCCCTGAATAACATTCTTTTAAGCAATATCAACCTTTTCAAACAAAGCTGAAAATTGCAATGAAGAATGAAAACCTACAAAACTTGGCAATTTGTAGTGACAGGAACTAAATGATTATGGCATTATACTCAAATCTTTAGCAAGATAATGTTCAGTCATGTTATAGAATTTAACAGGTTACCTCCCGAGTGGCATTAATAAGGGCTCCAAGCAAGTCCACAATTCTGTTCTGTTGCTCAATTTTATGATTTTGTTCTTGAAGCTTTTAAGAAATGAAGAAAAATTTAGTTATTGGTAATTACAACAATAGTATGAAATGTTAAATTTGTCTTTTGGTGCAAGTATTGTACATTTAGTTTTAATTTGGGAGAAATTAAAAAAAAAAAAGTCAAGATCTGAAAACTAGTTAATTTACAGACTGACATCACAATACGTGGTTAAAAAAAAAAAAAAAAAAAAAAAAAAAAAAACAAACTTATTTTACCAGTAAAATATGGAAAGTCTAGAGATGCAGAATTCATATCTGAACTAGAGAAAATGAACAGGTTACAAGTAACATTGTAATATACAAGTTAAAAAAAAAAAAAAAAAAAAAAAAAAGACAAACAAACTCACCCGAGTTCTCATTTCCTGTATATCCAAGAAGTGCCTGGGATTGTTACAGTCTCTAGAGTTGTGTAAAATAAATAAATGCTCAAATTAAGTTTAAAGTGAAAATAATTTCATTAACATTTATACCCATACCTTATAGCACAGATTTGTAAATCGAGAGAAAAGTATTGATCTGATTTTATTAAAAAAATTCATTTTTCTTTTGAAGTCAATTCAACTCTGGACAAGTTTTCAAAGGAAAATCAAATATTTGCAACGAAGTGTTCAGAGTTAAAGGGAAGTAATTTGAGGTAATTTGTTTACCCGCTATTTTTAAATGTTTGTAGCGGTTGAAACATACCTAGAGTTTTGGGGTTTTAACTTTTTGTGTTGACAAATGTGAGAGCAAATATCGCGTTCAAAGTGAGCAATCTTCTTGTGAGACTGTTGTAGTTCATTATGCAAAGTTTTATTTGCCATCAGCAGGTGATTACGCTCAGAGCCTAGTTTCTTTATCTCACTGCAGAGAGTCTAAAAAAAAAAAAAAAAAAAAAATTTTATAGAATTATGCACAGTTTTTAAAGTTATTCGTTATTTAAAAAAAAAAAAAAAAGCTTAATCTTTTTATAGTAAACTTATGAAAAGTAAGAAGCACTTAACATTCACAGCAACTTAGGGAGAAGTTAAAAGTAGCCAATTTACAGAAATTTTTCAGTTGAAATTGGAGGATTGCTATATAGAATCATTGTTAGCAATCCTATATGCTAATTAAGTATTCTACAATTATAGCCTTTCAAATAGTCAAAGTTAAGGTTTATGTTGATTTGTCTCTTAAAAATAAGTTCAAATTGTTCTAGAGTTACAAAAATGTTGCATAAATATTTAAAGATTGTTTGAGAAAGTTGGAAAACAGTTTTTTGGAGAAAAATTATAAAAAGGTCCAAGTAATTAGTTTAAATGTTAAAATAGTTAAGACCAATGTTATTTCAGTTTTCTTTTTTGGTGGGGGAGATTAAAAAAAAAAAAAAAAAAAAAAAAAAAATCAACATTTAACCATTCTTGCATTAAAGAAATAGTGCCATAGGTAGGTGATGGAAAAACATTTTAGCTTGATGTAAGACAAGCTTCAATATCTTATTAAATAGAATCTACACATTTGCAGGAGTCAAAGTTATATTTGATAAAACTCCTGTCTGGATGCTGAACAGTAATTTTGGTACATATCCACTTGTTTGTGCCATACTTTGTTAGCAGAAACAAGTTAAAAAATTCCTTAGTTATTTAATCTAAACTGAAGAAGCAATGTTATAGAAGAAAATTTACTTGATATATATATATATATATATATATATATATATATATATATATATATATATATATATATATATATATATATATATAGTAGAAAGCTATAGAGAGCACTTATGAGTGAATGAAGACTAATGCTAGCAACTGGGATCAGTCCAATGTATACATCAGTCAAGAATATGCAAGTTAAAAATGAAATTACCGAAATTTCTTCCTTTAAGAGGAGGAGTTCCTCTTTTTCTTTCACAAGATCATCTGACGTGTCACCAGTGTTGTGATTTTGGCATTGTAGACATGAAAGGTTCTTGTTAGAATTATTTTCTGTCCCCACAGACTTAAATCTCAGTTTCTGTTGAAGACCTGCTATCACTTTCTTGTACCTTATATGAAAGGAAAATTTTTTTTATATATAATTTATGAAATTTTTGAAGTTAAGCAAGGTCAGGTTAAATAAGATAGTAAGAGGAAACTTACTTGTTGGCAAGCAACAAAGATTCACCTTCCAAGACTGCTTCTAGCAGGCCAGATAAAGATCTGCTTGGAGACAACCAAACACCATCAGGGAGTTCTGAATTTAAATAAAAATTAAACTTCACTATATTTTATTTTTAAAAATCATTGATAAAAAAAAAAAAAAAAAAAAAAAAAAAAGAAAACTTAAGGAGCTGAATGAAAGTAGAGAAATAACACTTGGAAACTAAGAGGAGTTATAGTTTTCTCTCAAAACTAGTTAGCATTAAAAGGTTGAATTACAGAGAAATTGAAAGAGCATATTTATAAGCCATAAAACAATTAAAAATCTTAGCTGATAGATTTAAAGTTGATAAAGAATTTGATACTGGTTTTAATATAAACATGAAAAGATTCTTATCACTCACCACCTTGGATATTAGCCAGCCTTACATTCAAAATATCTTCTACTTCCATTGCTTCTTGATGTCTGCTGGTCAACTGAGTTGAGAAAATATAAAAATTATGAATATTGAAGAAAATGTAAGTACTAGGACATATCAAAAGTTAATCCCAATTATCAAGAGGATTACAGCCATACCACACTGAAATACTATTTCCCATACAATGTCAAGCCTAGTAATACCAGGTGCTGTAAGCTTGGATGTGTGGGTGGTGCAATAGATAATGGCTTGGAATTATTGATCAAAGAGGCACGTTCCAATTCCCATTGGGTTTGTTAGATTCACTTACATGCAAATACCCTTGGGAAAGGGTATGAATCTACCTCTTCTCCAGCTATGGGTTAATTAATAAAACTGATATCACTAATCAAAATGAAAAGTAAAAGATTTTTAAAAATCCAGAAATTTTCTGGCTTTAAATAAGCTGCAAAAGGCTCAAAGCTATAGAAAACAAATTAATTATCAATGCAAATGTCATGAGTATTTTTGTCTTGCGATCATAGATGTACAAAATGAGATTGGAACCAGTATAAGTATAATGAAGAGCTTTATTTTGAGGAAACAAGAGTGTGTGTTTTTATATATATATATATATATATATATATATATATATATATAAAAAAAAAAAAATCACTGAGTGGAAAGGATAATCCAATATAGAATATTAAGAGTGGTCATGAAGAGAGCCCAATGTATTGTGTACAGAGCAATATGATACACATATGTATTTGATGTAAATTGGATGATTTTCATTAGATTCTAATGTATTTCACTAGCTGACATTTGCACTTCCCCAGATCTATATAGAGAGAGATATATATCTATATAGAGAGAGATATATATCTATATAGAGAGAGATATATATCTATATAGAGAGAGATATATATCTATATAGAGAGAGATATATATCTATATAGAGAGAGATATATATCTATATAGAGAGAGAGATATCTATATAGAGAGAGAGATATCTATATAGAGAGAGATATCTATATAGAGAGAGAGATATCTATATAGAGAGATATATCTATATAGAGAGATATATAGAGAGAGAGAGATATATATATATAGAGAGAGATATATATCTATATAGAGAGAGATATCTATATATATATATCTATATAGAGAGATATAGATCTATATATATATATCTATCTATCTATAGAGAGAGAGATATATCTATCTATCTATAGAGAGAGAGATATATCTATCTATCTATAGAGAGAGAGATATATCTATCTATCTATAGAGAGAGAGATATATCTATCTATCTATAGAGAGAGAGAGATATCTATATAGAGAGATATATCAGACATATATATCTATATAGAGAGATATTTTTGAGTTTTATCTATATTAAGAGATATATATCTATATAGAGAGAGATATATATCATAGAAATATAGAGAGAGATTTATTTTATTCAAGATATATATTTTAATATATATTAGAGAGATATATATCAAGTCTTGTCCCTCCATTAGAGAGATATCTATATAGAGAGAGATATACAACTGTGTATATCTATATAGAGATATGCCAATACCTCATGAATATTTATTTTGGATATATTCCAGTCTTTTTGATCCCTGTGTTGTGCCAATAGGAGGAATAATGGACTATTCCATTTTGATCCCATGGAAAGGAGGGGAAAGGCCTATTTGGTTTCACTAAGAAAATTAAAGAAAGGGAAGATAAGTGTATAACAGTTATTTCAGTGGAGGGAAAGTTGTCAATTTCAAATCTTCATTTGTATTCAGTCCTTAATGACCAACATATTGTTATTGCAATATTTTGAAGTTAAGCTCAAATATTTAATGATGCAATAGGGGAATTTTTACAGATTGTATAACTTGCCATGAGCTTAATCATTAACTTAACATTCATTAGAATAAGGAAACCATGAAATCTTTATGGGTTAAGTATATACAAGTTTCCATATGACATTTCTATTGTATTTCTATTGTTCAATCTATTTGAAAAGTATTCAGCATTGGTAAGGAAGATGCTGAAAGCTTTGTGTCTTAAAATAAATTCTTTTTCATATTAATACTGTACCATTACACAGAAAGTGCTGAGAATTATTACATTGTACTTCTAATATAAAGTATACTGAGAAAAGAGTAAGTTTGTCCCATTTAAATTGAATAAAAAATGAGCACCTATGTAACATCTATAACACTGACTGCCAACCATGAGAACTCCTGGTAGCCATATATATATATATATATATATATATATAAAAATGATGCTGACAATTGATAATTTTTGTGGTCTTGCCATCAAAACAAGAATCAATCTACCACTAAATACCATACCACCCATTGATCTTGCCTTGTTTTAATAACTAAGTTTGTGTGTGATGGCTGTCAGCTTGTTAAGCATGACCATCACCAGATATAAAACATTTACAATATTAAGCAGTGCCTATGTGCATTTAAGTTTTAAAGTAAAGAAAACTTTGTACTGAGTCAGTCCCACCTTCTAAGCAATAATGGCATGTAACCAACAAGGACAAGTCAAAATTATTTGATGCTAACAGGCCACAGATATCATATAGAAGTTTTCCTTCTAAGGAAGGATAAAGGGGTCCAACACTCCCACTAGACTCACCACACTAACTCTGGTATTTTTACATACCGAAACCAGTGTTAGATAATCGATTCCATGAATGGATTCATCTGCGCTTTGACAGGTCTTATTTAAAATCCTGCTGGGTGTATAACCATCCACTAATTAGAAGTTTTGAGGGTGGGGTAATACTGCACAATGGCATGGATCTATATAAAAAGAAAAAAAAAAAAAAATTTGGTACCCTCCATAAATTATTTACAAGTTTGTTTTCCAGTGACCAACAAGGCAAGAAAGAACTTATTGTCAAACTGATTTCTAATGAGGTAATAAAGAGAAAAGTTTTTAATAAAATTCCTTGTCATGTAATCTGACAAGGTCTTAATACCTCAGAAACTCTTCTATTTGTGCAAACTGATTTCCACTGGAGGAGATTGTATCTATCTTCCAAGTCCTTTGCTTGCTTTCTTATCAGTCTCATTGCAGATCTGTTTTCTCTGAATAGAGAAATCATGTTTTTATCCTGTAAGAAAAAAGGTTAATTCTTACAACAGAAAAAGAAGTGGGTGAATTTAGTATTTATTTACATTATGAAACTTATTTAATATAAACCAGCAGATTAGTTAATAGAAGTTGTGTGGCAAGTTATAGTTCCTTATCTAATATTTGACAGTGTTAGACTTACAAGTTCATGGCAGTATATGTCAATATAATATCAAATCACATGATATGTGGCTACAGGAGTAACTAAAAACATGTTAAAAATAGCAAAGTAGCCTGTGGTTAGTCAACCAGAAGCAATACCAGATATACAGTGAAGCAAAAGAATTGTTAAACCAAAAACTCCTGTGATCAACTTTCATACATTTCAAATAGAGATAAGAAAAACTAAGTTGCATACTACCAAAATTAGTCACTGGCCTGAAGAATAATTCATAATGGTATGCTGTTAATCTTTAAATTACAATTGACATTTTAAACATAAATTATTGCAGAAGATAAATCCTTTGATACTTAACACTTCCACTGCTGCTTTGTCTGTGCAGACCCATTTTGGGAAAATGGGGAATAGCTATTTATGGAAATATGGCTATAAAATATACTGACAGCAATTACTCACAGGTAGCACCATTTTAGTTTAGATAGGATATTCAGCAGAGACCAAGCTAAATGACACCATCAAACACATATACTGCAATATGTACTGGTTTGGAAATAGATTCAAGTACTAGTTTATAAGAAGTGTCTATATGAAAGTTTCATTAAAAGATAAAGTACTGCAGTTAAGTATTTTTATTCAATTTTTGTGTTCATCTAAGGGTTTTCTTTTCTGGACATAAAAAGTGTGTAAAAATTGCTTGAATGTTCTGTATATCTGAGTACTTTCAGCTATTCTTTTAGCCATTACCAAGGATGTGCTTTATTTTTAAACAGGTGTAGATTTTACATATGCATGTATCTAGAGTTATGAGAATGGAAATGTTGAAAATAATGGATAAAGAGAAAGCAACACTCAACAGACTGAGCACTGTCACAGTGTGCTGACCATGCTTGGAGAAAAAAGTTTACATAAAGACCTACATATTCAGTTAAAAAAACAAAAAAAAAAAAAAAAAAACAAAAAAACAAAAACACATCTTGATAATGGCTAAAAGAACAGCTGAAAACAATCAGATATACAGAACATTGACAACTGTTACATGTCCAGAAGAGAAAATATTTATACAAACACAAAAATTGAATAAAAGGCTTAACTGCAGTAACTTATCAGTTGTCTTTAATGAAACATATAGAAGGATTACCTAAATACACTCAATAAAAATAGTTTTAAGGTATGTTATATTTACGAGTTAAAGTGCTCAATATCAAGGAAAGAACATATGTAAATATAATAGTGGACAGAGATGCACAGGCACACACAATAAGCAGCATGAAGATACCTAATAATGGCAGAGCAATATTAATTTTCAGTAGTGTCATAATGGCCATAGTGTCATATGGCCATTATGGTCAGTGTCATAACAGCCATGTGTATTAGTCATCTGGTTGCCTGATTGTGCATTTAAAGGCATATGAAACCTAGTCATGCAGTCAATCAATTATGTATGGCTCATATTTGATTCTTGTAGTATTGGCATGGTTGAACACAATTACCCCTGTGCCAATGACAGTTATACTGAGCACTCTGAGAGAACCCTTTGTGTTCAGGTGTATTTTTTTTTTCTCTAAATTAAGGTTTATTTTTAACATGTTAAGTCTTATAAAATGGCTATGTCATCTGTTATCCCTCCATGGATTATTATGGGAAGTATAGACTATGAATGTTCACAAACCAAGTCATTGGACTGATTGTAAAAATCAGGCAACTAATAGTTGCCCAGGCAACTACACTATTTCCTAAAATAAATATATATATATATATATATATATATATATATATATATATATATATCTATCTATCTCACACAAACAGGTACCAATAGTGTTTAAAGTTTCTATTGGTAAAGTAAATGCTTCATGTAATTGTTACTTACAGAATTTCTTTTGGAAGAAATAAAGTTTGTCAAATCTTGAAATACTTCTTCAAGCTTTGAAGCTGTACAGACTTCATTGGAATCCTGAAACAAGACAAGTAAAATCGGTATAGACTAGATTTTGCAACTAACGTGATAGCTGTAATGTGAATTAAAGCAATTCTTGGGAATTCTAATAGACAATATTTTAAAGTATTTGTGGAGTGAAGACAGAAATAGACACCAAGACATTAAATGACAAAAAAAAAAAAAAAAAAAAAAAACTTCATGATCCCTTTCAAGAGTATATAAGCAAAGTCACCATAGAATAACCCTATCTGAATAGTATTTCACCCCCACAAGATCTCCCTTGCAAGATTTGTCAACACCAAGGAGTTAAAAAAAAAAAATAAATAAATAAATAAATAAATAAATAAATAAAATGGTAGCTTAAAAATTTAAAGAATCAAGACAGATGAAAAAAAAGAAAAGGATGTAACAAATCTTGTAGACAAAGCTTAAACCCAGTTTCATGATAGTAGAAGGGGAGTATTAGGATATCTAAATATCATACTTAACCTGAATACTAATTACCTTTAAACCTTACCATAAAGAACATGAAGCTCCTAACTACATTAATGTTGACTAATCACCCCTATACCATCTTGAAGCAGATACCATTTACTGTCAGCTCCAGAATTAGTAAGCTTTCATCTAATATTTTTAATAAAAACAATGAATTGTACAACAATGCTCTCCAGAAGTGGCTTTACCAATAGATTATCCTACTTAAACCCCAAGAGTAACACTAGTGAAGATGAGTTGTAAGCACAAAAATAGAGAAATATAATATGGTTCGACCCCCACCTTCTGTAAGTTATCCAAAATATCAGGCAAGTATTTTTTGAAGCTAAAAAAAAAAAAAAAAAAAAAAAAAACATTTCCTAAATAACAATCCTCTAAGATCTTCAATAGGAAAACCATCAAAATAAGTTATTCCTGTACAAATAACAGAATAATCAACTCCCATAATTTTATTCTAAATAAATTCTATGGTATCAACAATAATAGCAAATCATGTAGTCAAAAGAAAATGCAGAGCTTCAAATGTTATTTACCAAGCAACAATTTACCCCAAAAGAAAAAAAAGTTAAACCACCATATTTACATTGGAATTTCTGTGGAGGAATAGAAACAAGGACTTGACTTTATACCCATAGACACTTTTTCTAACCCAAAATTAAAATACCAAACTGCTCATTCCAAAAAAAGAATTTTGGGAATTGAGGAGAAAGATCTGAACCTTCAGATTGACTGGAAATTCATAGGTTTTGCTCATACTCCTAGTAATTTTAAAAAGGTAGGTGTAACCTGTGTTTAGAAGATTAGAATAATTAAATTTGATAATCAAAGTATACTACTAAATCAAAGGAATGAGTTAGATTCCAAATGTCATCACCAAAGTAGGTTCAAGCTAACCTAGAATATTGATCTTGCTTAATTTGTCATCACCTAACACATAGAAATGAGGAATAGATCAAATAACCTTCCTCCTACGTAGGTGTATTATTATTACTACTACTATTCCTTTTTTATTTTTGTCCTTACATGTAAGGTTTTATTTTACCTAATTATTTTTTATTTTAATATTTAATTTATAATTCTATATTTAACTTTAGATTTAATATTTAAAATTCATATTTAATAATTAAGTGTTACTTATGTTATTTTTATTTATTTATTAATTAGTTTTTATTTATTACCTATTAATTTACATTTTTTTTATTTAGTAACTTGGCTATAATAATTATTTCATTAATTATATGTACTATTTGTATATTGCACATTTTAGATGTTGCCTTTTAATTGTTCTTCCTTACAAGATTCTATTATAAAAATAATTTTATTTAAAAAAAAAATAAAAAAAAAAAATAAAAAAAATTTTGTTTAGTTTCCCTTATAGAAACTAAATATTGGGATTTTAGAATATAGGTCAAGGTTATTTTAACTGATGATGGTGACATATTGTGTGTGCGTCATCTCCACTTATAATGCACCTGCCTATCACTTTTACACTGATCAAAATTTTAAATGAGTTTATTCTCAAAAAATATTGCACAGTGAGGTATATGATATAAGAATGATTTCTACCAGAAAATGTACTGTCTGCAAAAACATCTGTAAGTTGGAATCCCCATTCTTCTGCTGTTGAAGGGTGCAGGTGTATCCAAGAATGCCAAACTTAATACTTTTCTTTCCATGCTTCATTTTTGTCATACCGTTAATAATATTTAATAAAAGTATTGTACTGACTATATTGGTACCCTTTTGTTTGTGCTTGTTTATTAACTAGCCTATATATTTTACATAAGAAGCACACTTTTCTTCTAATATATTATATACACACACACATACACAATTTCTGGTTTTCAATTAGCTTGGTAAATTTCTTTTGTAAAATTTCAATTTTTGAACCTTTTTCAAGAAGTATTTTAACCTCATAAAAACAAAATTATGACATTCATTTTTATCTTAAAGCTAAGCAATTTTATACAATTTTTTTAAGTTAATTGTAAGCTTTCAAGTTTTCACTTAAAACATTCAGCTTTTAATTTCCAGCATTGATATTCACTTTGGGACTTATTAATAAAGCCGACTATATTTCCAGGTTGATCATGGCCAAGTGTAATTGGAACTCGAAAACAACCCTGTATAAAGGGGACTCATGAAAACTGGTACTAAAAATATTCTTGCCATAAGGCTTGGAGTTGACTTTGTGAAGATACATTAGGTTGCTTGTTATTCATGCACTTACATAGTAGATATCCAAGTCTGGGACAGAGTGTCTCAATTTCTCCAAAATCCATTTTGCAGTTACAGTTTCCTCAGAGCCCTGAAGAAAAAAAAAGGGGGGCTGATTAAACACTTTAATATTCATAAACACAATATGTACATATCTGCCAGATTTTTTATGCTAGAAAAAAAAAAAAAAAAAAAAAAAAAAAAAAAATGGATGGCACACTAGCTTAAGAATGAAGAGACTTGCAGGTTACTCACTTGGCTTTGCCAAAAATGCTCATTAGAGTGCATTCTAAGTGACAGGCATTTCCTTTTTTTCTACTTGCTTCCAGATATAGTCACACGTAGGTAAGGTGTCCCCCACTGAGGCACGTTTATTTTTGTGATCCTCTTAACTATCACACACGAAAATCACACACAGCTAGTTTCAATGTCTTGTCTTTATTTCAATTGTGTACACATGAAGTTACTTTTAATTTTAATACATGCATCATGCATATAATTGTAGTTTGTTTTGAATTCCACGTTAATTACTTTTATTCAGACTTACAGGAATCCGCCAATATTGTTTATGGGACAAATGTTCTAAGAGACATTTACTATAGAATGCGTACACTCAAAGTGTTGATTCCCACAACAAAGTGATGACTTATTTTTACTCGAATATAACATCCTGCAACAGACTCATTTTATAAATCACGAGAATTCTGGCAGTTATAGAGCAGGATTATCCATTTTCCTAAAGAATACGAAAAACTCCAAGTACTAGGACAAGATGTGTGACACACCAAACGAAGGCAACTGCGGCCCGTGTTAGATTTGGCATTTATTACTGTCATTAGTGTTTGAACTCCAGGTAAGAGTCTGGATTTTGAATGCAGATTTTCAGGGACAGGCCATCTTCCATTTGGAAAATTAATAATACTGCTGTCTTATCCAATTTTCTTGCACCATTAAATTTAAGTCACGTAAAACAAGACATTTGTATTTATATACAGACTATTGTCCTTAACGTTTTGGCCATTGTGCAACCCCCACCCTGGGCTTTCATCAGGTCTGTATTGATCTGGGTAACCTACAGTGAATTCTGTATTGAACCCTTAATTTAATCTATAGAGGTAGACTGTTCTTGTTAGACTAACCATGTCTAAGATCTCTAGATATTTTTAGTACTTCTCAGTTATTGCTTGTCCGTTACCACAGTCCAATTCCTGGGCTAGGAAGGGCGTACTTAACTCATTCCAAAAAATTGAACAGAGAACATTTGTAGTCTAAAATATTGTAATTAAAATACATCTAGAATGCAACCGAAAGTCAAAATGAGTTAAAGTCCCTTGCATTATCTGCCAAGTCTTCGTCATCACATCAAAAAAAGATTTAAACTAAAGTTCGTATGTTATCGGATTTAAGAGACTTCATTGGTTTACTTGTAAGCAAGAGGTAAGACAATACAATATTAAAACGAAATGTGATACTTACTTTAGGAGATTGCTGTTGGCAGACACCAGATAAGAATTCCTTGGAAGACCTAGTTTCTACTGGTGATGACGACGCTCGTGATCCAGAGCTATTGAAACTGCTGAAATTAAGACACTAATTCAGTTTTGCACGAAATTAAGACACTGTTGCAGAATCTATGCTGAGTAAGATGTATCAGAATGTGATTTTTTGTGAAGGCCAAGAATGTGCGTGATTGTAATTTATTTATCCACAACAAATAAATCAAACAAAAATAGATAATTCAACTTAAAGAAATTACTGAAAACAACGTCATCAGAGATTTCAACAATAACGTTATTTATATATATATATATATATATATATATATATATATATATATATATATATATATATACACACACACACAAGATGAGATATTTGTTGACATACACAAAGTGATAAGTTGCTTGTTAAACGTGGCAAGTGAGATAAGGTACAAAGATTGTCCATGCAGAAATTTAGTGAGTAAAAGTTGATAGTTTAAGTGTTTGTGGAATTAAGATTGTGTTGAGAGGTTGGTAGTGGTTATTGAGTCAGTGTGTTGGCACGCGTGGGGTCTGCTGGTATATCTTGAAACTCAGTGTGACTAACTTGAATTAAAATGAGCAATTCTTTTTTATAGATTTTCGAGTTTCCAAGTAGGCTCGAGAGATCTGCACGGGAAAAAGGTTTGTTTCAACTTTGCTACATTTTAGTGTCCCTTTAACCAATGGAGGATTGAGTTTGGAAAAGTAAAGTGATGATTGGTTAAAGGTTTATTTGGGGAAGAGTGCATCTTCTCGTAGGGAGTGACAGGCAAATGGAGAATTCCATAATACTAATTCAGTTTTGTATGAAATTAAGCTCTGTCAAAAAAGGTGAAGAACCTTGATGCAAATTTACTATGGATGATCTAGCGATTAAACCACTTTCTATCCATTTTCATCATAGTAAAGTGTTAAGTTTTAATTAAAGTAGCATTCTCATTTAAAGTCGAAATTGTCACATTATGGTGAGCAACTAATGCATTTGAGCAGGTTTTGTAAGAAGTGTGCTCATAACCATTTTAATTTCTCGACGTTTCTTCAATGTATTCCCTGTGTCAATGAGTAAATTCCAAGTTTTGTATTTTTTTGTTTTAAAAATAGTTGACAAATTTTATGTTAAGCTTAAATTCTTTTCCGTTATAGTTGTGAAAGATTTGGTCGGTAAAATATTGATTCATTGGTTTGTAAGAATGGCCCATTCTATCTTGAAATATTTTATGAGGCTTATTTCACATTAAGTGAAATAATTAGTGTATTGAAGGAGCTTAAGAGTATTTCCAATGAATTTTTTATAAATATAGAAGGGTTCTTAAGTAGAATCCGATAATTATTCTGGATTTTATTGTATTGGTATGGTGAGAATAGAAGTTTATGAGATCATTGTTAGTAAGGGGTTATATATCTAGGAAAGGTAAAGGTTTATTTGATAGTGAATTCTATCATATGCGCGATTTAGCTACAAGATAATGTAGTTTTAATAGAGCGGAAATATATCTGAATTATGTTTAGGTAAAATACTATGGAGAATTGGAATGGGCTCCATATAGGATTCCACATGACGGATGCTGACGTAATAAGAGAATAGAACGCAAGTGACTTATGATTTGTAGAAATTAGTCAACATCACAAATGGGTCCTTACAAACTTAATGGTGTCTGCGACCAAACTTATTTGTTGAGGGTAAGTTGAGGTTCTCACAATCTACGGACTCTTGCAGTGATAAGGGTGTAGTAGAAGAATCAACAGCTGATTAGCTAACCTTAAACTGATAAGGGCATATAGCCATACTATCTTCTTTTTCATTGTAGTCTGGAAAGGACCAGATGAAAAACAAGCTAAATAAAAAACCCCATTCAGCGGCCAACTCATTGGTAATCCAAATTTGAGTATAAAAATTTAGGTGAAATATTGATTGGCATATTTGATTTTAATATTGGTAGATTCATTTTGCATTAATGCCATGAAAAAGCATTAATGATTATTTCTCCAGCTGTGATCAATAGAGCAATCACTGGCTTCAAAAATGATTAAATAGTCAAGGTTTTCATTTTTCTGTTGTGTCCTTAAAATGAAACTGTGCATACAACAGCTCGCACACAATATCCCTCACCCATACTATGACTGGTACCAATGCAGAGTAATTTACCCCCCCCCCATGAAATTCAATGTTCCTTAGCTGTACTCCTCGCTTCAAATACGCAGCAAGTTTAGGTTACATGGTACCAGCACCAACGAATTACCCCTGACCAGTTATAGAATGGCTACGATGGCATCCCACAAGACAAGAGGTTACAGCTATCCAGTAATTTATCCAGAGCTGGAGAAGAAAAGTGGACACACAAAAAGTACTTACCGAGCAAAGTCCGAACTAGTCGATGATCTCGTTTTAGTTGGAGTTGCATTGTCCTCACTCAGAGATTTTACCAACTTATACAAACTAGTTCCATGGCTGGAATTGTGGTCATCAAGTTTAGATACGTTATCCGTAAGGGGCCAAGTGTTACTGGTACGATCAGCAAAATTACAGCCCGAATCCAATGACATCCTAACGTTGAGACTTGACTTGGAGTTTTCGGATACTTCAATTTGATAGACAGGGTTTAGAGAATTGTCAAGAGAATCGAAACAAGAATTATCCGTACTAAGATTCTCGATGGAATGCTTAAGAGAGAAAAAAAATAGAATATCACAACTCATTAATATTTAAATTAATATTTTCCAATAAAGTGAATTTTTAGGAATACCAAGAATATTCTGCATTATCCAACAAATCTTGAAAAAAAAATTGTTATTTAGTGTTACTGTTAACGTTTACACATGCTGTCAGTATTGCATTCTGTCAATCTTGATATGTAAATAAACGTTATATTTATTAACTAAATGTCATTAGAAAAGTTAATGACAAACAAATTCTACCATCCACGTAGTACACAATTTTAATGGACGTAGATATCAGTCACAATTGAATTATTTATATATAAATAATGAACACGATATACAAGTTTTTATGTATCAGAATTTTAGGAAAATCTATGACAAAGCGGAAAAGTTTTGTGACGCGTTTTCCCTTTTATGACGAAAAAGGGGTTACACGAAAATGTTTCCCCCCTAATATATATATATATATATATATATATATATATATATATATATATATATATATATATAAAACGTATAAAAAATGCGAAATAGTTTAATCTATTCCATAATTAACCGAATCATTGGAATTGTTAATTAGGTAGAAATTTTATGATAGCTCTTCCTCCTACACACTCATCAGTTCACTTTCTATTGGAACTATCGTGTGATGTGAAAGACGCTTTTTACTCAGGAATGTCCCACGTGTTACATACCATGTCAAATTTTATGCGACTCATTGTTTTCGCAAAATTGATATTAAGCAAACGATGTTTGTAATTTCTTTCGGGATGTACTAGTAAGAGAAATAAATATTACTTCAACTCATGTATATCGTTATTAAAACGCTTTTTGTGGTGGGAGTTTTATGCAAAAACAAAAAATAAACTGTAAAAATTTGCAGTATACTTGACTATATGCGCTATTTCTCATACAAATGTATAAAAGATGGAGTTCATATGGCATATTTATAAAAAAGGTGTCTAAAATTTTACCAAAGTATAGAAAAAGTACTGGTGAAACTATGTTGGAATATTCAAAATACGGTTGTGAGAGCCTTTGAGTGCTCTAGTTTCACTAATTTGTTACTCGCAGTCTAAACGATCTTATGAAGTAGAAGTAATGTAGATAAAACTTAGATACAAATTTGGAATGAAAAAAGTATTTAGCGTTGCTGATAGTTAATTTGTGCAGTTTTCATTGAAGTAATTTAGATATAAAGACTTATTTACCTTTGAAGTCAATCGACAAGCTGGCAGGTTCCCTTGATCCAAGTCTTGAAGGTTCTGATGTGTGAGGGTACCAGACGTATATTTTTCGGAAGTCTTGCTCAGATTATCAAACTTGACCACATTTTCCTCAGACGACAGACACAAACTTGATGACAGTGAATTACGTTTCGAGGACTGACGCTTATTTACATGAAGTGCATTCTCTTCAGATCTCGCGTCGAACATGTCTTTCGAGGTGTTATATTGGCTGTCTAACGTAGCAGCAGCAACGGTGACACTGTTCGGTAGCAAGTTAATAAACGAAGAACACGAATCCGAGTAAGAAGAGTTCGAATCATTCATAGAAGAGAGAGAGTATTTAAAAGAAGGTAGCCTTGAACAAGATCTGGTTCTGTCTTCGGATTTTGGTAAAACATATTTGTTGCTGGCATCTGATTTTCCTTCATCTTGTAGACAGGATTCGAATTGCTGAACGATTAGCTTCACTTTCACCTCTGGTGTTTCTACCTCTGAGGAAGATTTTATTGGAATCGCTTGAGACAGGGACATACTTGGTTTCAGTGCCATCTACAGGAAGAAAAACAAGTTCTGAGAAAGGAATTACCAATATTTGAAAAAGCAATTCTAAAATTAAATGGATTCAATACGTACACGATTTTACATTCATTTATACAGAAAAACAGTTTAGAAAAGGCGATAAATGTCCGTGAAAGCGATCCCGGTGGAGAAATGAGACGTTGCAGCATCCTGTAGCTAAAGAGAAAGTTCTTTTCTTTTATACACCACCTAGTGGGTGTTAAGAGAAGCCCCCTAGTAGTTCCTGTCAGTAGACTTTCAGAATCAATATAAATAGCCGTAAATATGGAGCATCCATTGAGGATCGAACTCACGACTCGGACGAAATTGATCTAGCGAGAGAAGCTTGCTAACAATTATACTACGTTAAAGTACCTAGGGTCAATATAAGTGATTGAGATATTAGCTTGTACCCCGGGTATAAAATCAGCAGTCTCCAAGGTTCAGTACGAGGGGAACTGAACATTAGACATTTTTGAAGTCTGAAAATGAGGCTGGGGTGAGATATCGGTTTTATAATTTCTAAAAGTTTGAATGCAATAATTACAATAATATTGTAACGAGCCCGTGAACTGTAGTTTAGAAATCCCAGTATAACTGACCACAATTTAGACATAAAAAAATGTACTCTTGATCAAAGGAGAAAACAATTCACTGTGAGAAAACGTATAAAAGGGCCTTGATCGCAAGATCATCTACAGTAAATTTGCACCCTGGCTCTTATAATAGATCTGAATGGTGAAATATTGTAACTGTGGAAAACTCACTGACAAAAGTGATGGAAAGAAAGACTAAATTCGGCTAATTAAAAAAGCTCTTAGCCCCCCCTCATTCGTGCGCATGTATAGTCGCACCAATATAAATTTAGTCCAATGAAGTCCTGAAAGACGAAACGTCACAAATAAAAGTTTCCACTGTCATACAACTTCCAAATCCCAGTATGCATTTAAAAAAAAAAAAAAAAAAAAAAATCGGTATAACCCAAAGCAAGGTAGTTACAGCCACTAAGAAGAAAGGGGTTAGAGGGTGTGGAGGAATTGGGAACAAAAAGATTAGTAGAAACAGAAAAGAGTAATCAAGAGGACAGAAGATAGTGATTGACATTGCATTAAAGTTTTTGCAAATTAAAGTTGGTTGGAAAGCATTGATCCGAAAAGAAGTTCCACAAGCGAGAAGTGTGAGAAAAACAAAATTTAAGGCTACATCTAGCTAGATCTGTAAATTGACGAGATCTCGACGCCAATCTAGTACTGTGCTTAAATTCCTAAATTCTACGCACCATAGAGAAGAGATCATCCGAATAATTACCATGAATATATATGCGCAAAGACTTAAGCCGAGCCGTCGGCCACAGAAGGGAAACTAAAAAAAAAAAAAAAAAAAAAAAACTGCTTAGAGTAGTGGTACCCTACGCGTACTCGTCAAAGCCAAAATTACTCAGCTCACGCTTTGATGCGTGAGCTGAGTAATAGTTAATGTGCAATATGGAAATACTGCCGAGCGAGACACCTTGGAGGTTACTATAATGCCATGGATGACCGGGTATAGTTATAGTGCATTAATCAAGTTGATTATTAACCTTTTGTAGGTTGTTTAAAGCTAGAAAATATTTGTAAGAATGCTTTGAGATAATTTACCGATATGAGTACAACTAATTAACCCATAGCAGGGGACCGAGAGAAGAGGTGGAGTCATATCTTTCCCAATAGAAGTGAATATAACTAGCCCAACTGGAACTGTTCTCAGACTTCCAATTCTAGGCCGTTCTCCATTACACCACCCGCACACCCAGTCCAGTCATTAGTTTGGGAAATTGTCATTACGCTTTTTCATCTTAGCTATCCGATAAGTTAGAAATTTTACCTCAATACTTATTTCACTTCAAGCAAGGCGATAAGGCCACTAAGACGCCAGAGGTTACCGAGAGCGAAAGAGAAAACTTGTGACAAAGAAAAAATTCAGTAAGACTGAAGATGGCAATGTACGTTGCGTTTAAATATTTGAAATACTGTCAAAAGTTTAAAGACTTATTAAAACAAGACATTACAAAGATTTAATTACCATTTCTCTCCGACGAACCATTTCTTTAACTGAAGGGATGCTGTCTATTTTATTCGCTTCTAACGAGATATCAGACAGGCATGAAGACTGGCTGATGTTCAGGGTACTAGAGTTTTTTTGTTGCTTCTCCAGTTGACTGCACGACGCTGTAGATTCAACAAACGTTTGTGGGTCAATACTGTAATAGATCAGAACATTATTATTATTTCTTATGCACAGATATTTGAATTGTTAGGATATCTATTTAAAAGGCTGGTAACTAAAAGGTACTAGAAATTTTGGATAGAATTAAGATAACCAGCTAGGATTATCGGGCAAGGCTTGTTAGAGTGAGTGCCTTCGGCAATTTTGAAGTGTCTGGGTTAGTGAGAAATTAACGATTTTAAGCCCATTCAAGAGATCTAAGATTAGGATTAATGCCATCAGCAATACCAGATTATGGTAATTCATAAAGTATCCAATTTTATTTTTTTGCAAACTGAGGAAGAACAAAAATAATTGATCTGCATGTGACTAGTACTTACCCAGAGTCTCTCCTATCATCAGAACACTTAGGTTGGCGAAAGTTTTCATTTTCCATTGAAACCATCATATTAGCTCTGTAGATATGGGAAAAAATGATTCGTTACATTTAAAAGATAGAATTTTATCTCAGTTGATATTAGTTTCTTAATATGGCAATATCAGACATTAAAAATGTAGCAATTTTTACATACTTGTCCATTTTCTTTAATTTTACTTCGCTGTTCTCTAGACTGGTATCTTTTCTAGTACGTAATATAAAAATAAAATACTAAATATTGTGAGGATCCCAATATGTTCAAAAAAAAAAAAAAAAAAAAAAAAAAAAAAAAATCCTAGTCTATAAAAACTTAAGATACGCAAAAAATAAATTTTTTTAAATACATACTTACAATTAGTAATTTTTTTTTTTTTTGTGAAAATATCCAAGTGATTAATTATTTCAATTTATGAATGATTTCACGTCATTACATAAAATTCCAAATGGTTTGCGTTATCTGAAGAAACCTTTCAAAAATAGTATAAGTTAAGCCTTTTTATAGTTAAGGTTAAATATAAAAACTTGTAATTTCAATTTTTAGTACTTATAATTACAGTTCTAACAATCTGCTATATCGTCTTGGCTGTAAGTCATGTCTAAGTGAACTAAAGTACTAGATTTGAACCGTTTTAAATGTTTGGTTTAGTCGAAAATTTTTATTACTTCAAACGTTATTTTTAGTGGATACCCCTATTTGAATAGACGCTTCATTTTTATTTTTAAAAAGTATGTCTACCGCCCTGCGCGCTTGAGAAAACTTGTACCATCCGACTCGGTTTGAAACTGAGTCCCTCTTTGTAGGAGAAACCACCGTGCTTGAAACAACTCAGCAGGGTTCTAGTTACCCCCTTTAAAAAAAAAAAAAAAAAATGAACACCCTTGTTTAGATTTTCTACAAAGTACAGTTTTGTTTCGTATATGAAACGTAAATATAGTGATTTCGAAGTCAAATGGACTTATTTTTTTTAACCCTAGTTTTTAAAATAAATTTTTAACACTGTCCAAGTGTTTGCTAGGCGAAGCATTTAAGTTTTGATTTGAATCATTCAAGATAAAAAAAAACAAAAAACAAAAAAAAACAAAAACAGATTTACTATTCAGAACATTTCTTCCACCCGGAAAAATGTTATAATTTAAGCTACTAAACTGTAAGAGCTGACTTCTATACACATGTAAATCTCTGAAAGAGTGACGCCTTATGCTATAAAATCAAAAATCTTTAATTTCGGTTTTGCGTGCAATGACAATTTATAACTGTTTAAAGAATCCATTATGCAAGAATTTCTTTAAATATTAATGGACATTTATAGATTACATCTTTATTCTTAACACGAAATATTGTTGAACATTAGTTTCTGGAAGCACGGTGGAGTTGTCGGAGTTAGCTCCGACTTAATTCCCAAATTGTCACTAGGGGTCATTCTCCCTATACTATAAATAGTGGGTGAGTTCTCACCTCGTTCTTTTTCATTTCATTTTGTTTAATTGCATGTAAATAATTTATAACCATATTGTATATGATCATTGGGAATTGTTTAACTTGTTTTTATTCCCCTCTCCCCACAGACAACGATTTGTACATGTGGGAACTATTTACGATTTTCATTGCGACAATGAGGTATTTGGTGGATGTAGTAAGAAAGGTAAGTATGAATGTGTTTTGGTGGTAGGAATATTGTATTGTTTGATTGGGTCAGTGGTTGTGGCTAGCTAAGTTTAACAATTAAGACAGATGATGACCGTCCTCCCCCCCTTTTTAGACCCTGTGCCACATTTTCTGTATTTTACAGAAATAAATATTCTTTTTCATTTCAGCGACTACAATGTAAGCTCTCTTAGAAGATCCGCGTCTTCCCATTTGTGGGAGACACACGTACGAACATTCAAAGAACAGACACAAACGTTCACACATTATCTATGTCCATTGTAAATTTGTTTTGTTTAATACATATATATATATATATATATATATATATATATATATATATATATATATATATATATATATAGTTTGTTTTCTTTATCTTCAGTTGGACTTAATTCAAGTTAGGCCATTTTCTTGTAGTTGGATCTTTTAAAATGGCGGATTAATAGCGGCTCGGATTGAGAAAACGGAGAGCCGAGTTCTAATTTCAGTCAGATCCATATACCCTTGGGAAAGGTATGACTACTCTTCTCCCCCTCCCCTAGCTATGGGTAAATAGCAGGACAGACCGGGTTGCCTTGGATGGCAACTGGTCTACCGCAGAAAGAAATGGCAACCTATTGCTGGAAAAATCTGCCTCGTCAGTCATGTATCGAACGATACCTGATCGCCTAAGCGTGTATCACGCATGACATAACGGAGTTTCTGTAAGCAATGTTGTAAGCTAATGGCAAAATTAAGTTTCCATACAGAAAATATTCGGCATTCATTGATCGAACAATTAGTTTAGTTTTACTGTCGATTGAAACTTACAAAAAAGTTTCAGACATTAGAGTTCACGAACCATTATCGATCTTTCTAGTAATGGTGAGAGTTTCCTTTCAAACTTGACAGTGTCGACTGCTTTATATTTTCTCTAATTAGATGCGCTATCCAGTTTCCTTGTTGCTAGAGTTTGTAGCAAGAAGAGTTGGTCTTTTGAACATTTCAAACCTTAGCTCTTAACGGGTAGTCTTAAGGACTTCAAATGGCATATCGTAAAGTAAATTAAATAGTTTCTATTAATATAATTAAACTACGTTTGTAAGTTTTCATGTTAAAAAAAAAAAAAAAAAAAAAAAAAAAAAAAAAAAAATTTCATTACAAGCTCCCAGGACATTTCTATAAACAAGTCAACAAATAATTCTGTCATTAACCTTTAAAAAAAAAAAAAAAAAAAAAAAAATAAGTATTTAACTAACAGAAGCTGGATTTGGGAAACTGGCAAATGAGTATTCGAATGTAACTAACCAAATGTCACAGGTCGGACGCTGTGTTGCAAAACGAGTAGATGTTGGTAGATTATGAATACTATCTACTGAAGTCTTGTATATCACAACTACATATTGGATGGTATTAGGCAGGGAAGAAAAAAAAAGAAACTTAGCTAGTCAGCCGCCAGCTATAGACGGGATACGGAACAGTCGTAACCCCCTGTAGTTCCACAGTATGTGCGAACATATACGGCCATTGTCTTCTAGAAATTTACTCAGCATTTTTATAAAATATTTCGGGACGTTTGTACATTTTAGTTTTGATCAGAAAAAATACAAAGTTTTGAAGGTGATTTTGCCACGGTGCGTAAGGGAGTTATTTCCTCCCAGGTAAGGCAGTAAAGCCACTAAAATGCAAGGAGTTACCGTGTGTGGAGAGAAAAAACATCAAGAACAGGAATTAAGACAAGATTACGATTAACATGGCATCTAAATTTTTGAAGATCAAAGTTGACTGGAAATAAAGCCAAAAATGCTAGAAAACTTATTACATATCGCCATTTCAACTATAATGTCAGACCTAGCTGCCAATCCAGTACTGCGCTTAAATTAGTAAAGTCGAAGTACCAACGAGAGAGAAGAATTATGAAAATATTTATAGAAGCAGCACGGGGGGGGGGGCTACGTTGCGACAGTGAGAACGTGACTGAAGCAGAAATGCCAGGTCAGTATCGATAACATTGCAAGTTCTTGTTCAGATTTTATCAAAGCTCTAAATATATAGAAGAATCATATCAGATGTGATGGCAATATTCAATAAATGAACGAATGGTAGACTTGTGCGTTAAGTTTTGTCTAGAAAAGAAATCTAACAGCAGACACAGTGAACAAACTTTTCTAGCAGTTGATTCCAAATGTTAGCGGAATGTTACATTTTTTTAGTTTAGATTGTCTGGTGGTGTAGTACTTTTTGTCCGCATGGGTAAGAAATTTCCCACTCCATATAAGGTGGGGCGCCCCTAAAGCAATGTCGACTATTTTTTTTAAGTTGAGTTACGTCAGAAGAGCTTCAACTTTCGACGTTTCTTTTTGGTTATGAATCGTAGTCGAGTAAGAGTTTGGCAAAAATGACACGCGACACGAGTGCGTACGAAGCAGACGTTTCATGTCGAAAAAAAATTGCACAAATGTACATTCATCGATGCTTGCTGAGCGCTTATGTAGAAACATTTTTGGCGAGTACAGTTAGTCGGAAGGTAATAGGTTTCAACATTGACTAAAAAAATCAATGTGTGTAACAAAGGTTTCGATCAGCCCTGCACGTCTCAGCTCACGGCACGTTGATTTCTGGCAGAAATATGTAGAAAAATATTTAATGAGAATGAGACCACATTTCCATATGGAGCGTAGAAATAAATATTTTAGAGTCCCCCCCCTGCCCCCTCGAATGACAAATCGATTACATTTTAAATCGTAAGGAAACTGTCAGACTAGGTTTTGTTTTTAAACTTCAAATATTAGTTTGTCATTAAAATAACTATTTTTACTCTTCCCTGAACTAGTTAGTTTCAGACACCAGACTGAGTAATCTGGAAATCAAATATGGAGACTTAGATATCTAGGTTCAGAAAAGCATTTTACAGTAAACGGAGAATCAGGACTTAAAAAAAAAAAAAAAAAAAAAAAAATAAGCAGACATATTCCAACGCTGACATTCTTTGAATTCAGTTAATCGGAACTATTTTGGACCAACATTAACCCATTACAGGTCGGATGTTTAACTTGCAAACAAACCGATTCGGTAAACTGGATATAGAAAAGGTTATCTCCGCAACAATAACCGCATCAAGTCCCAAAACGCTTTGCAAACCCGATGGAGGAAGTATTTTCACTCTGTAGTTCTTTTAGTGGATAAACTATAAAGTTTCTTTATAGAAAAAAAAAACTAATTGCAGATTCGGCGAAAGACCAATGCTTCGGGAGTCTCTCGTCGGTGCTGCGAGAATTGATAGTTCTGGAACACGTTCAGTTCGATTTTAATTAATACATTTATTTCTAAAAGAAATAAAATCTAGACGAATAATTGATACATATCGTTTTAGTTAGTCCTTTCGCACTAGTCCTTATTGAAT